GATAAGAGGGCAGATTAGGAAACAACAAAAAGGTTCCTTCTTTCTTTCTGATTTGAAGTGGGTTCCTTTGAGAAATGTTTGATGTAGTTAGAGAGGAGGAGGGTTGCTTCTACTGCTACTTGGTACTGCTTTTTATTTAGGGAGCAAGGCCACTTTCTCACATGCAAGTTTTAAATACAAAGTTAGGCCTTTTTGGGGGGTTTGTTTGAAGGGCAAGGTTCATTATTTTGCGGGCTGGTGTAGCCTTGTAACCTATGCAAGTGCCCTTATTTTATGTGTCTTTTTGTTCTTCTCTGCCATCAGGAGAATTCACATCAGCTTCCAGCTTACTTCCTAATTGCTGGAAATTATTAATCTTGGATTTTTTTAAATAATCCCCACAAGAACATGCTTGAAGGGGGGAGAGGAGGACCATTGGGATTGGAGACCTTAGAATTTTTTTTGTTTAATCTTTGGGTTTTGTTTTTGGCTGTGTAGGGTATTTGGTGACTGAATTCGGACAGGATGCTACCATCTGTAAGGACGTTCGTACAAGGCTCACATTTATCTGATCGAGTCTTGGGCATTTTTTGATTGTTGGATGAACGTGATTGACAATTTGTGCATGATATAGTGTTGGACGTTCCTTGACTGTTGGATATGGATGATCAAGGTGACTATTTTCGGTTTTGTTTTGTGAGGACCATTGTGAGTGTTATAAAGACATCCTTATAAATGGTGTTGTTACTTCATACTTGTTAGCACCATGGCTGGATTGATGGTCACTCTGAAAGTTGTGCTTCACATTGAAAAATTATATATAATTTTATTAAAAAAACTCCAAAATTTGGAAGCAATGCCCCACAACTGTAGGGATGGCAACAAAACCCGAACCCACGGGTACCCACCCGATCCAACCCGGTCAACGCGGGTAAAACCCGTGTTGACGGGTTTTGGGCCGGGTTTGGGTTTAAACCCGCTACACTATTCACCGGGTCGGGTTGGGTTTGGGTTTAGGTAAACCCGCCCCATGGGTACCCGCCCACACATATAATTACGTTCCCGGTATATTTAATATTCTAAATAATATATCTTCCTTAAATAACTAATATTCTATATGTTTGTGGAGACATGTATAATTTGTTCTTTCTAATTGTTTAGAATGAAGTTGATATTATGAAGTGGAGAGTGAAGAAACTTAGTTGACGAGAAAGAAGCTTTCAATTAATCTAATTGTTTATATATGTTTATCTTTAATTTTGAATAATTTGTATTGATCATTTGTGCTTTGCTTGTATGCTCTAGATCGGTGTTTTTTGTATGATTAATTTGTATGAGAAAATTGATGTTAAACTTTTATTTTGAAAGAAACTTGTTATTGTAAATTTTTACCACAAAAACCCACGGGTACCCATGAACCCGCGGATACCCAGCGGGTTGGTTTGTGTTTGAGTTTTTCAAACCCAACGGGTTTTACCCCGGGTTTTTTTGACAGATAAATCCATGGGTTTGGGTTTGGGTTTGACAAAACCCGACCCAACCCGACCCATTGCCATCCCACAAGGTGAGAGATGTTGACTATGATCATAATGGCAAAGGGGGAGAGGAATTAAATTTTGGTTGCATTTATTCAGTAGACAATCAATAATAATTGGGAGGTTATTTATTATCCAGCAGTAACACTATATAGTGCTTGATAATATACAGAGCCAAACCATTATGTTCATGCATTTTCTTGTTTGGACCAAACCATAATTGGCAAAGAATGTATAAATTGAAGTCAAGCAAAACTGATCACCATCCTCCCATCAAATCGACAGCTACTGCAGGCTTCTGTTGTGATGGATCAGGGGGTTTGTTGACACAGTGTTGGATGTTTGGCAGATTTTGAAGTTGATTGGTCACTCCTTGTTTAAGGTGCTATAATTGTCTCCTCCTTGATAGTATCGTCGAATTACACTATTATCTAATCTCCATTGTTTCGGTCGTGAAAAAACATATTCGAAGGAGACGTGTTCCACCTGCTCTTAATTAGAAATGGTTTCTTGTTCTAGTATTAGTTGTAATTGTCCAGAGAGAGTAATTACGTCGTCGTCGCCACCCAACAGGTTGTCTAGCTAAATTAGGACAAGATTGCATCATTTGTACATACATTAAGGAGTGAATGCCTAATTACACTACCAAAACACATTGAATAATCACAAGTTGTGGGAGAAGGTTGGACTTGGTGCCTAATTTATGGTAAACGGTAATGGGAGTTGGTTGAAGACAATGGCCAAAAGGGAGTAGTTTGGTTGGAAGAAGCCATAGAGACACTTGCGACTGGTTTACAAACGAAACAAGGCCGCGTTTGGCTGGTTCTGAGAAAGGAACACATGTCATCAAATTTAGCGACCACTGCCGGCTTCGGTCGCTAATGCAAACAAAAACCCTTTTCCCACGAGGAAATAAAGAAATCATTTTGGTTACTAATGGTTGACATTTTCTCCTTGATCCTTGGGATCGTGTCCCTTGTTTGGTTATATGTTGAATCTATTTTCTGTTTTCTCCAGCACGTACGTTGACCCAATTCTCGCCCTCATTGGCTCTGTTTTGCATCTAATCTAAGGCTGCAGAATTATTGGGAATCATAGAAGGAATCCACCTCAGGATTAGGACGGCAAATTAAGTCGAGCTTTGGCATTCGACTCGAGAAAAGCTCGTTCGAAATTCGGTTTGTTAATAAACGAGCCGAACATGAGCTAAGCTTTGTTCAGCTCGTGAAACTCGCGACGGCTCGGTGGCTTGTTGAGCTAAACTCGTGAGCTGGCTCGTTTATAGCTCATGATATGTCTCAACATGTGGCTAGAGAGCCAACTCAATTACCGACTTACGGACGAATCAATCTATATCTTGTGATTTTAATTCATATGGTTGTTAAATTATATATCTAGCCATATATAAAGTTGAACACGTTGAGTATGTGAGCAAATATATCTTATTTTCTATTTTAAAAAGAAATTATGTATCATAGATTGCTTTGATACTATGAAATATTATGATTTGGAGTTGTTAAAATTTATTAACTAAATTATATATACGATACCAACAAAGTATAATATGAAATTAGCTAACAAAATAAATCATATGTATCATGATATACAAAATGAAGTACCAAATAAAAGTAAAAAATTTAGTAAACAAGCTAGCTCGAGCTCGACTCGGCTCGTTATTAAATGAGCTGAGCACGAGTTCGACTCGTTTATTAACAAGCCGTGTTCAAACTAGAGCAAAACTCGACTCGACTCGCTCATTTCTTTGCAGCCTACTCAGTATCTTAAACTAATCTTCTTCCTGATGATGCCTGCTGCTTTTTCTCTCCTCTTTTTTTGGTTGCCAATTATGGGGATTGCCAAACAGCTAGCTAAGCTGTTGAGACTGAGAGTATGGGAACTGGGAAGCAAAGGACCACTTGTGCTTTATCAGAAAGGAGATCATGAAAGTGTGTGTATATGTGGGTTGGGAATGAAGCAATGTGGCTGGTTTGGGATTTTGGGGACACACATTCTCTCAATTGGAGGACCCTTTTTAGAGTATTGAGTGGAGAAAAAACTAACTCTGAGAAGGTTTTTTTTTAATATGGATGTGTTGGGATTGGGGAGAATGACTTTCAGTGAGGTCGACTGGATGTTGAGTGCGAATGCGCGTTGGCAGGTTTTAGTGGATCGAATCGGTTTGGCTAGTGAACGCTCATAGTTATTTAAGTGTTTGACTCGAGTCGTTTCATGTCAAGACCATATCAGAAGGGACGTATTAGATTACGCTTTTGTGAATCTCGTCGGTGCATAGAGTATAAGGATGGTTTATGGAGGTTAGAGACATGTGTTTAAGCAAAACAAGAGCATCATAGGATTAGATTAGCTTAGCTAATTAGCTGCAAAATGGGAAAACAAATGAATTGATCAAAGACCAGTCTTCTTCTCTTCTCTTCTCCGTTCCCCCATCAAAACATGTGGTCTTAGGATTGGTTAATGTATGCTTCTGTCAGTATTTTCCAATCATTTAGTGCTTCCTTACTGTCATGATCTCTCAGATGAACTGCATTAACTCAGTCGACGTGCTGCATGCTTAATGGCTAACTGCTTCCAACAATAAGTGTGGCTGGCACAATTCATTATTAAGCACTAATTATTATTATTATCTTCTTGTGATTTTTTATATATTATATGAATGATACTATGTAGTACAAAATATCATGACAGTACTGTACCAGCAAGAAAAAAAAAATAATAGTAAGATTATCTTATCTGTTGCCAACAGAGTTCATTTCCTGGCTGGACACTTATCAGATTGAAGTGGTAGGATTAATGGTTAATTAAGCTTTAAATTGGATCGTGCAATAGATCCATACAGATTTGATTTACACGGTATAGTTAGCTAATACAACCAACTGATATGGTATGAATTATGATATCACAAACACTTTGTTTTAATCCCAGACTCTCTGCTCCGCGCCACTCTAAGGTTCAGCTTAAGTTATACTTCCACTTGCATTGCATACAAACTCTCTTATGTTGTTAGTTATAATGAGATCGGTATATGTTGCTACGAAGGTAAGCTTTTTAGCCCGAACGACAAAGATATGAGTTTGCGAGCCCTAATATGATTCAATTAGGTTATTCCGCTTGCGGTTATTCAATTTCCAATTGAAAGTAAGGGAACATAGAACAACTTTCGTGCTTGTTGGTGGAGGTGCTATTGAAGGGATTCAAACATGTAACTTCCCAGATCAAAACTAATGGTATTACTATTAAGTCAATCTGTTGTTCGCAACGAGGCGTGGATACAAATTCTCCCCCTTTCCATGATCAAATCATTAAGATTTAAGAGGGAGAAAGAGACTGAACCAACTACTACTTCCTTAATTAGGTGGTATATGAATGATTAAGGAAATTATATGAAAATAATCACTTTGTAGACTTTTACCTTGGACTTGGACTTGGGCTTGAATCCTGGATCCCCATATTAACCTTGGGCCTTCCAAAACCCAATACAACGGGCTTGAGCCCTGAAACAAATGCCACAGGATTTAGCAACCAAAAGATAAGAGTTGCTCATGGCGCAAAATGCAAATGCCAGCTAAAAAAAATCGACTCCGGGTTGCGTAACCCTCTGGAAAAGGATGAGACTTTCAGGATAGAGAATTCAAAAAGCTACAACCTTTTGATTGAGCTCGCTCCACCTTTCCATGGCGGGCACCATCAAACCCGTACTCCCTCCCCAACAACAATTGATCCCAACGAAACAAACCCTTCACCCTGCTTCTCCTCCATGGATTTCCCGCAAACCCATTTCCCATGGCGGCCATTCATCACTTGGCATTTCTTCTTCTCACAGCAGGCCGCCACTCTCAGCCTCCGTTTCATTCGACCCGTCGAGAAACTTCGACCTTTCTTTATTCGACGACGATCAAGGTAAATAACAACCAATTCGTCTCAATAACTCGAGTTATAACACGCGCAGTTGACTCTGTTTTTTCACTCCACAGACGCGTCGGATGTCGCGCCGCAGCCGATGCCGCCGAGCGAAGGAAGGTATGAAGTTGTCATCGACAATGGCATCATTAGCGCACTCGATTTGTCCCCGTTTCGCGATGTTATGCCTACGGGGATTGTTAATTCTTCTAGCTCCCCTGCCTCAGGTAACGAAATAAAAAAAAGCAGGGGAAAAAACAGAGTCCCCGGAATTTCATCCGACGTAGTTTGTTTTCTTGCTGAATTTGTGGGTTTTGACCAGTGGATGAAGTAAAGCAGTTGTTGGAACGAAGCGTGGGGTTTACGATTAACTATACGAGGGACGATCCTCGGGATCCTCGAGAGCTGTCGGAGCTCCCTGATGTGAGGCTCTGGTTCGTGAGGCTCGATGCAGCTTATCCATGGCTGCCGGTGGTGCTTGACTGGAGAGCAGGGGAACTCGCCCGTTATGCCGCCATGATGGTCCTGTCAAAATCACAAACGGAAAATAGAGAACACAAGAACTTTTTTAACGTGGTATCGTCGGTATGACACTAGTCCACGGAGAGGATCTCCCTCTCAGGTTTTAGGTTTTCTTATTTCGTTGATACTCCAGTACAGCTTACAATGATATAAATAGGTTGTGGTCACAACCCTAATTCCGAGTGGCTAATTACAACTAAGTACCTATAATTAACACCCTCCCTCAAATTGATGTTGGGTACGTAACATCAATTTGCTTGATAGGTACCAGTGTCGACTAGAAGATACTGCCTTTGTAAGAATGTCTGCAGTCTGATCTTCTGTGTTCAGGTATCGAATCTGTATTGTCCCTTCTGCAACCAGCTGACGAATATAATGCACATGAACTTCTATGTGCTTCGTACGATCATGCAGAACTGGATTGATTGCTATCTGAATTGCACTCGTATTGTCTCCATAAAGACACATAGGCATTCTGCAAGCAACGCCTAGCTCAAGAAACAATCTCTGCAGCCAAACCATCTCGGAACTAACCTCAGACATGGATCTGTACTCAGCTTCTGTTGACGATTTGGATACCCTTTCCTGTTTACGACAACGCCATGATACAAAAGAGTTTCCAAATCGAATACACCACCCCGATGTAGATCTCCGAGTATCAAGACACCCCGCATAATCTGCATCTGCAAAAGCCTCAATCACTGGTTCTCCTCCCACAGGAAAGAAAAGTCCAACCTCAGTAGTATGTTTAAGATACCGTAGAAGACGATGAACAGCATCCAAATGTTGAGTACGAGCCATACCAACAAACTGGCTCAAGACCTGAACAGAATATGCTATGTCGGGTCGAGTATGAGTTAGGTAGATAAGACTACCAACTACACTTCGGTAGAAATGCTGATCCTCAAGAAGGTCTCCACTAGATCGACTCAACTTCAGATTCTGCTCCATAGGAGTGGAACACGGTTTACAGTCTGAGTACTGGGTGGCTTCCAACAAATCAGTGATGTACTTCCTTTGACACACAAGAATACCTGATGAGGACTGCTGAACTTCTAAACCCAGGAAGTAAGACACAGAACCCAACTCTTTCAGGTTGAAGACAGTATGGAGATGCTGCTTAAGTTCCTGAATACTGTCAATGTCATCCCCGGTAACAATCATGTCATCAACATAAATCAATAGCACTGTAATACCTGAGATTGTCTGCCTAATGAACAAGGAGGGATCACTGTGACTCTGGGTAAAGCCAGCCTGGAGAATGGTACTGTGAAACTTGTCAAACCATGCTCTAGGTGCTTGCTTCAAGCCATATAAGGAGCGATTTAACTTACAGACCATATCAGGACCACCCTTTTTGTACCCAGGAGGACACTCCATATAGACAACCTCCTTTAAATCTCCATGCAGAAATGCATTCTTGACATCAAGTTGATGAAGAGACCAGGATTTACTAGCTGCCACAGCAAGAACACTGCGAACAGTTTGCATTTTTGCAACCGGAGCAAATGTCTCGTCGTAATCGATCCCGAATTCCTGCCGAAAACCTTGAGCCACTACACGTGCTTTGAACCTCTCAATCGCGCCATCAGGCCTCATCTTCAAAGCATATACCCATCTACTACCAATAACTGACATTTCAGGACGTCGTGGAACTAAGTCCCACGTATGATTAGCTTCTAGTGCGTCAAATTCGTCATCCATTGCCGCATCCCAGTTCGGATCCCCTTTAGCATCTCTGTAATGCTTCGGAATGGGAATGGATTCTGCAGAGAAACCAACGCAATCATAATCCAGCAACCTAGTTGGTGGACGTGTGTTGCGGTGGGAACGCCTAAGAACAGGTAGCGGGGGAGGAGACACCTCTATGTGGTCATGTGCTGTTGATGTCGATGAGTAAGATCCAGAGGTACTGGATTGAGATGATGATGCATCCAAGGACGGAGATAGCTGGGAATTTCCAGCCGAAGTAGAAGAAGTGGCAGCCGTCTCCTGCGAGGAAGCATGATTTGACGATGAAGCTGTGGAGGTTAAAGGGGAATGATAGCCAGCTATGGAAGGAGTACCAGGAGGTGAGTCATCAAAATTATTTGTGGAAGATTCCCCTGGAATGCCTTGATCTGCTGCCGCTGGCACATTTTCAAATATTGGCAAACTATCAAGAAAGTCCAGCGAGTCATCTTGAGAGAGTTTGTCAACCGGATAATGCATTACTTGTTCCAGAAAAACCACATGACAGGAGATACGCATCCGTCGAGCAGCCGTATCATAACACAGATAGCCCTTATGTTTCTCACTGTAACCCACAAACACACATCGTGCAGTCTTTGGATCTAGTTTACTCCGTTCTTTCTTCTGCAGAAGAACAAAGCAAACACAGCCAAATATGCGTAGAAAGGAGTAGTCGGGCTGCTTATGATACAACATATAATACGGGCAATGATTTCCGATCGTCAATGATGGCTGGCGATTTATCAAATAAACTACTGTATTGACTGCTTCGACCCAGAAACTGCGTGGGACATGAGAATGGAACAACAAAGCTCGAGTTAACTCAAGAACATGACGATGTTTTCGTTCCACCATCCCATTTTGCTGCGATACACCAGGACACGACTGTTGAGACACAATCCCATTTGCCTTGAAGAATTCTGTTAATTTGTTCGTACTAAATTCACCACCTGGATCAGATCTTATAATCTTTACTGTAGTTTTGAACTGAGTCTGAATAAGCCGAACAAATTCCTGAGCATAGTTAATAAGTTCAGACTTCTGGCGAAGAAAATAAACCCAGGTGTAGCGAGTAGCATGGTCGATAAACAGTGCAAAATATTTATAGCCCAGGCGGGAAGTGACAGGAGACGGTCCCCACAAATCTGTATGCACTAAGTCAAAAGGAGACTCATAGACAGTAGTGCTAGCCGTAAATGAAGACTGGGAAGCCTTGGCTTCAATACAACTAACACAAGTAGAAGGGTTCATTGAAACCGAAGAATCCATACGATCTGGTAATAAATGATTCCGAAACATACTGTATAAACGAGCAGTGTGAGGATGGCCCAACCGACAATGCCATAAATCCCAAACAGAAGCCTTAACTGAAAAATCCAATGGTTTTACCGAACACCCTAGCAAACCATTACAATCCGGATTACTAATCAAACTCCCAATGGCCTTGACTTGTGTTGAATCCTGCGGCTGGCCACCAAAAGTCCTAGCTAGCTGCAGCTGCCCACCATAATTTCCAGCTTGCTTGTGATATTGATTCAACACAAAGATCCGACCCTGTTTACTTCCCGTCCCTATCACCTTCCCGGTCATCTGATCCTGCACAACACAGCCACCCGAATTAAAGGTAACTTTACATCCGTCCTCAGCTAACTGGCCTACCGACACAAGGTTGGGCACCAACTGTGGAACATAGAGTGTATGAGGAAGAGTTACTCCCGGAGTGACTGCTGTACCCGAACCAGTAACTGGGATTTTTGCACCATTTGCTACTTGCAATGTCAGCGGAGCAGTAGGTTTTATCACAGGAAAATGAGCAGGCGAGCTCGTCATATGATTAAAAGCAGCTGAGTCAAGGATCCAACGAGATTTATTACCTGAAGCCGCACCAGTAGCAAAGGCTGAACTTAATGCAGCAGGCAGAACATCTTGGAGAGCCTCTTGGACGAGTTTTCTAACTGCCTCGGAGGATAAAGAAGTGCTCACCCCCCCAACTGATGCATCAGCAGAACCCGCCGAGAGAGGCTGGACAGCATATCCCGGACCTGAATTCCGACCAGACGCGCCACCAGAGCGATCACCACGACGACCACGTCCCTTCTTAGTAGGGCACTCGGAGATAATGTGACCTTTTTGCTTGCAATAATTGCAGAAATTTCGCTTTGGGCACAAGGGTTGAATATGGCCAGGTTCTTGACAGTAATGACAACGGATCTCCCCCGAAGTACCCTGCTGAAATTGTGGACGAGAAGACCCAGACTTGTTAATAGCAAAGGCAGATTCGGAGCTGGAACTGGATTGATCAAGGCTGGCCTGACTCTTCAGGCGTGTCTCTTCACGGACAAGTTCCCCAAATGCAGCATCAAGATTCGCCACATTTCGATGAAGCAGAGAAGCCCGGACTGCCTCATATTCAGGACGTAGGCGCATAAGAAAATGCATAAAGCGAGAACGACTGCGTTCCTTAATGATCTCAGCCGAGACAGCCGTCGGAGTTAAAGAGGCCATTAACAAATCATACTCGGTCCACAGCTGGAGAGCATTCTTGTAATAGGTACGGATATCTTGATCACCTTGAGCAAGAGCAGCGAGCTGCGTTTCCAGCTCGAATTGACGAGAAGCATCATATTGGGAATTGACAGAACGGATATGCTCCCACATCTCATGAGCAGACGTAAAGCGGCGTAAACCCAACGCTGTGGCCGTGTCGACAGAACCCAAGAGCCAAACGGTGACTTGGGCATTTGCAGCAGCCCAATCATCACGCTCTTTCTCTGGAGCAGTATCAGCAGGTCGAGCATATTTGCCATTCAACACCGGAAGTAGCCTCTTACCTTCCACCAGCGTGCGAAAATGAAACTCCCAGAGGGAGTAGTTGGTGCCATCAAAACGGACAGGAGTGTCAAGCTTGGAGGAATCCATGGCACAAAGTAAGAAGAAAAGGCTGCCGAGAGAAGTGTACCAAAGGAAAGCAGCACGCCAGCAGCGTACTCAAAACCAAGACCCGTACACAAGGGTAAAAGACAGACTGAGCAGATGACCACCAGGGAGTTGCGACGGCAACCCTATCCACCGGATGTGATCGAGCAGAAACCACCAAGAATCACCGGAAAAAAACAAACCACAAGCTTCAATCGTGAGGCTCTGATACCATGTCAAAATCACAAACGGAAAATAGAGAACACAAGAACTTTTTTAACGTGGTATCGTCGGTATGACACTAGTCCACGGAGAGGATCTCCCTCTCAGGTTTTAGGTTTTCTTATTTCGTTGATACTCCAGTACAGCTTACAATGATATAAATAGGTTGTGGTCACAACCCTAATTCCGAGTGGCTAATTACAACTAAGTACCTATAATTAACAGGTCCCTCATCAGGTAGTAATACATTCGGTCATGATACGCGCGCGTGTTGACATTGTTCGATTGTAATGGTGCAACATTTTCCCTGTGTGGAACATGAATTCGATGGTTTGGGAGTTAATTATTTGTGAAATTGAATGGTTTGGTTTTATGTGTGTGTGGTGTGCAGATGAACATGAAGATGGGGGTTGTGTTCAATCCAGAGGCGTTGGAGTTGTTTGTGATGAAGAAAGTGTTTGCGGTGTATTCTTGGTTGAAGGAGCAGAATGTTAGCAAGGCTAGACTGAAGACAAGTGATATGGCTAGAATGCTAGGGTTTGGGATTGGAGATGAGCTTTTTGACTTGATTGATAAAAATTCTTTGCCTCTATAACTCTCCACACGAATGTAAAGGTTTAGTTTACGATGGTTAACTTCAAATTTGTGACGCTATGTATTTAATAATCGCAAATCCACTTATTTCTCGATTCTTGATGATTTACGACAATTTAGCAGAGGCTGATGAGGGACACATCTCAATCTCCTACCGAAATTCTTTCATGATGGACTCATACTTTCTCCCTCGTCCATGTAGCTTACAAATTTCTTTACTTTATTATCTTGAATTCGTGTCATGCCTTTAAAGTTAATACGATTTTCTGTACTTTCAATGATTTTTATTTTTACAATACTTGTCTCCTTGTAATGCTAGCCTCAAATTAAAAACATGATGATAAACTTCATTTCTTTTTTGTAATGGTGATAATCATACATTAAAAGAGAAAAGAAAAAGAACAGAGTCAATACAAACGTCCAAATCCGTTCAATCGGAATATAAACTTTATTTCACTTCTAAAAAATTAATAACTTTTTAAATTAGTTTGATGGAAGCATTTATATCTTTTATATACTTTGTTTTGTCATCAAAACATGACAAACTTTATTCAAAATGGAAACAGAAGAATGCGAAGTAACTCAACAACCGTATTCTCATTTACGGGAAGTTAATCCCAAGTGCTTTTTCTATGGATCATGATCTACTTAATGAATGTCTCATTAAGAAGTTCTGTTAGCATCTCATACGTCAAAAGGACTAAGATGAGTAAAAGTACTTGTAGTTTTGTGTATGATGAAGTTTCGCTAATGATACACATGTGCTAGACTATGATTACATGTAAGATCAAAGAACGAGGGGGGCGTATATATTCTAATGTGTTTGAGGATAACATTGAATAAAATTTGGATGTGAAGAAGAATAATTTAATTGATGGAGCTAACATGTTAAAATTGATTACCCAAAATAATCTATCCTATTGCTCGCTCATAGTGGCAATAGCTTAGGATGGAGGGATGAATGGGAAACACAAAGAGATATGCAACTCCTTTTTGTTATTCGTATTGCTTTTTTTTATTATTCTTAAACAAAATATTTTGCTTCATTAAGGGTAGTCAGAAGAAATTTAGTTTTCACCAATATCTCATAAAACTATATTAGGAGATAAAAAATAAGCAATGCATTGTACATTACTGGGATTGGAAAGTACAATTTCTTTCTCAATAAATTACTACTTATATGTGAAGAAATCATGTATTTTATGTGATAGGTTGAATCTCAAGACTAAGTTAAATTTCACAACTTGTATATGTGTTTGGTACTATAATAGCCTTAGAGTTGAGATGGTTATTGTTGAAGATCATACAAAACGACCAACTTATACATGGTTGTTGGTTCATGCCATATAACACAGTTTTGTAGTGTTACTTTTAAACGAATTGAGCTTCATCAGAGCTTGACAGTGAAGTGCTAACCCGAGTATAAGTGGTTAATAGATTATAAACTATATTTGAATGTATAAATTGTGAAATTATTGGTGAATATGATAAATACGAGTTCCTATAGAAAACAAAGGAAGAACAACAAAATTATTGCGTATAATAGAAACGTATTAAAAATGTATTAAAATAAATGTCCTAAACTTTATATGACATAAAAGTATCACACTTCGGAAGTAGTTCAATAATATAAGTTAGGCAAAATACATCTGTATAGCCATAACTTTCACACTTTTGACAAATATAGCCATTATTATTCGAAAACCACAAATAGCCACTTCCGTCCATCTCTTTAACGGTGTTACTTAACAATCTGACTGTACAGACGGAAATGATGAGCTGGCAATTTCTCGTCAGACACGTGGATTAACAAAAAAACAAAAAAATAATTTTTTTATTTAGTAAAATATAAAAGAAGAAAACCCATATTACAAAAAAAAAAAAAAAAAAACCTTAAAAACCCTAGCCGCACAAACCTTATCTCCCTCATTCTCTCTTATTCTTTCTGGAAAACCAACGAAAAAGAAGAGTAAGAATACAGATGAAGTCGATGAGCTCGTCTCTCTCGATCTTCTCATCCTTCCATTTCTCGATCGGCCCCTGTTCTTCCCCAACTAGCGCCGATCTGCTCTCTCTCTCTCTCTCTCTCTCTCTCTCTCTCCCTTTCTGAAAATGACGAGAAGAAAAGAACGCCGGTAATTGAGGACGACGGTGACGAAGGTGTTTGACGCAGGCGATGATGAGGATGGCGGCGGAGAAAGGCTATAGAACTCCTCGGAAGTCAGAACCTCTTCAGGGGGTCATATTTCTGGCGGCGGCGACGAAAGACTTTCTTCACTCCAGCAGTTTTGGTTGTCGCTGTAGCTGAACGGAGATAGAGAAAATGGTGGGAAATTCGAGATGCGCACCGAAGTTGAAATGGATTCGTTCTTCGAATCAGCCAATTGTTTGCTAGAGTTCTCGATCTTTTTAATCCTTGGCTTGCCGCCCAGCTTCACCTTGGCCACAGTTTGTTACCGCTGGCGACGAGAGAGCGTCGAAGGAGAAGTTTCAGACGGGGAGAGATGGAAGGAAAGAAAACCGCCGTCGACAGAGGCGAAGAATCTCCGGTCGTGATGATGACGAAGCAAAGGGAGGAAGGGGAACGGTCTTGCAGAGTTGGCGACGAATCGATAGTCAATCGATTTCGCTTCCCGTTTCCTAGATAGCCGCCGAGCTTGAATTGAGAAGAAGCAGGGGCCAGGAGGTGCTGCCGCCATTGTTAGTGGTGGTTAGGGGTCTTTTGATTGGGATTCAATTGTTGTTGGCGGAGCTCGACTTCAATCCCACCACTGGGAAGCTCGTGGTATCTGCGGCATCGGTAGGGATGGGTGAATCGGGGAGATCGATGAAGGTTTGCAGGCTTGAGGGGCGGCGATGAGGGAAAGTGGAAGGGGTAGGGAAAATTTTAGTGAAGATTTTTTTTGTTTTTTTTTAATTTTAAATTAATTATTTTAATAATTTAAAATGATGTGGCAATGATATGCTGACTGGTCGCTGACGTGTGCGATGATTTGGCATCTTAGTCAGCCTAACGTTAACCTAACTGACGGAGTGTCTAACACCGTCAAAGTTTCTAACAAAAATGGCTAGATTTATCACATACGATCCAATTTTTAGGCTATTTGAGGTTTTCGAATAGTAATGGCTATATTTGTCAAAAGTGTGAAAGTTATGGCTATACAAGTGTATTTTGCCTATAAGTTAGTACATTCAAACAATAAAATTATTGATGCTCGAAAAATTCAAATAAAACTCGTTGATATCTTCTTAAACACACCATAATTAAGGAATAATAGCATAATCTGCCATTTTGTTATGATTAGGGAGATAAAAGACAAGGAAAAAACCCCAATAAAGTTTTTGTTTGAAGGGTTGTAAACAAGAAAGCCAACGTGGTTCATCAACGATCGCAATTCGCATGACTGCCAACGGGCATAACGAACGCGCAGCTACAGCCAGAGACGGAGAGTCCACCATGGAAATGAGATTGGTGGTGCCACCATAAGTACGGAACGACCTGCGAATCCTTTCCTAGCAAGGAAAAAACCTCCATGGCAATGGCTGCTGCAATCACTCCTTCGTTTTCTTCTTCCTCTCGTCTTCGCCAAGCTCTGCCGGTAAAGAACCCTCCACTCTCTCGCAATTTCCATCTTCCGCAGTCGTTTCGCCCCCGTCGCCGGCTTCCCTCCATCACCACCACAATTCGAGCCGTCGCCGTCGAACAGGTATGCTTGATACTTGTTTACCCACCTCGCTAACACTTCAAAGTTTGGAGCTTTTCTCAATTGGGGGTTTCAATATCTGTTACGATGTCGAAATTGTGGATTCTTTGTAATATTTGGAGTTGGTGGTACTGAAATTTGCAAAAGGGTTCTTGCTAATGTTCTCCGTTCATTCGTTAATTGAAGAAATTGCCGTGGGGAAATTGTGCTGTTTGATAGGCTGTTGGCAAAATTCATGACTCTCAAATCTGAATCTGAAATCTCTGAGGGCCATGTCTCAAGTTTTCTGACACAATTGCTGATGGCTAGCAAGAAGGGAATTCAATCTCACTTCATGTGTGGATAGGGTAGCAGGCTGATATATTGTCATTTCAGAATATGATGAAGTAACAGTTGATTCCATATGGGATGCAGTGTGTTTGTTTTGTTTGATTGTTGCTGGGATAAAGTAAGAACTTCTGATTTTGCACTTCCCAGGACTCAAGAGCACAGCTTGGTAAGAATGAGTATGTTGACCTATTCGCCTGTCCAGTGTGTTATGAACCTCTGATAAGAAAGGGCCCTTCTGGTTTTAACTTGTAAGTGCATAAACTATGATATACTGCATAGAGATCATTAAGCATTAGCTTTTGAAAGTCTGGGATGCATAATTGGAAGAACTGCAGGGCAGCAATCTACCGTTCAGGCTTCAAGTGTACAACATGCAACAAAACATATTCTAGCAAAGACAACTACCTCGATCTTACAGTTACTGCTGGGATGAAGACTTACAATGAAGCCATGCCGATAGGGACTGAGCTTTTCCGGTGAGTTCACAATCAACATCTACCAACTTCATTAATGCATATCATAAGTAAGCTGTCAAAAGGGGCTCTCAGGAGCCAGGTGCTGCATTTGTTCTTATTGTCCTAAAAATATTGGCATTTCTTATGCTCAATAGATAACCAAGGCTTATAGTTAGGCTAATGGTTAGTTTGAAGGTATGAGATGCTACGCTTCCTCAGTTATTGTCAACCTTTGCAGGAGTCCTCTTATTTCATTCTTGTATGAGCGCGGATGGCGTCAGAATTTTAGCCGTAGTGGCTTTCCCGGTCCAGATGAAGAGGTTTGTCCAGTTGGCTTTGCTTATGATCTCATGTCATTCTGATTTTTCAATAAAAGCTACATTTTGTAGAAACCATTTAACAGGTATATAGTATTAGATGAGTAGCTATGAACACTTGCTCTCAATCATTTAACTTATGAAATTAGAGGATTGGAACTAAACAAGATGACACCTTGACATGCGGCTATTGAATGATGATCCATGACTCATCACCACGTGCTTCTTCAATGCAGTTCAGAATGGCTCAAGAGTACTTCAAACCAGCAGAAGGCGGCCTTCTAGTCGACGTCAGCTGTGGCAGTGGTTTGTTTTCCAGGAAGTTTGCCAAATCTGGAACCTACTCTGAAGTTGTTGCACTTGATTTTTCTGAGAACATGCTTCGTCAGTGTTATGATTTCATAAAGGCAGATGGCACCATCTCAGAAGAGTAAGCTATACCCTTCCCCTGCTTAGACATCTGGATCAGCCAAATTTGTTCTCATCAAGTGATGCCAATTGTTTTGAAATGGGCAGGAATCTGGCACTGGTGAGAGCAGATGTTTCAAGGCTCCCATTCGCCTCAGGTTCAGTCGATGCTGTCCATGCTGGTGCTGCCTTGCACTGCTGGCCTGCTCCTTCCAATGCTGTAAGCTATCACGCCATCCTGCTTTAGACTTAATGTAATGATAATTGAGGCAAGGAAACATAGAAATGTACTCCCTGAAGCATCTTTTCCTTGATATTTGCAGATTTCTGAAATATGTCGTGTATTGAGAAGCGGTGGAGTCTTTGTTGGAACTACTTTTCTTCGTTACTCTTCATCAATGCCAGCAATAGCACGGCCTCTCAGACAGGTAGATCTATCCTTCCATGAATTATGATGGAGAACTGTTAATGGTTAATAAATGTTTCAGACTAAGTGCATCGTGAACTGCATACTAGACTACTAGTTCAAACACCATTGTTAATTATGTCATTAGCTTAACTAATTTCTTACCTTCTGTGGCAGCAATTTATGGCGAGAAGTAATTACTACATAGAAGAGGAAATTGAGGACTTGTGCATGTCCTGTGGTCTTACAAACTACACCAAGAATGTTCAACGATCCTTCATCATGTTCTCAGCTCAGAAGCCCTGATTCCAGGTTTCGGTCCCCTCTCATACCGTCATTACCATTCACTGTATAGACATCTCAAATGAACAAAAGGCTGAAATAGGCAGAAACCAGAAGACATACACAAACATTGCAACTGTACAAGTAATCATTGATGACAGTCTATGACTTTGTCACACCATGTTTCCTTCAAATTTCTTTTTGACTGTCATCGACACCCAGCCTTCTGCAACAAACCAAATTTCAGAGGGTGAGAAATAATCATTCTAATCATATGTCTCCAGATACCTGTGGGCGGCTAATAGGGGGTAGCCAAAGCTTTCAACTAAGAATCAACTGGATTGTTCTTCCATTTCTTTTATCTTTAACACTCTTGTGGCTGAGATTCATCAGTGAAAACAACCATGTTCTGCAAAATTGAGATTGCTGCAAATTCACATTGGCAAGAGCTCCCCTACCCACATGATCTGCAGAAGGATACAATATACCATTTTGTTTTTCTGACACACAGCAGATTGGTGGGTATGGAGAAGTAAAAGGAAAGAGAGCCCACGTATGGCCATGAGTGAATGAGTAAGGAAAAGGGTTTTGGGATCCCCTCGTGCGGCTCACAAGCTGACTCATCCCTCTAGCCTCCATGTTTGTTCTCTTCTGTAGGAAAAAAAATTAGACCCATCAATTGGTTCTTTTGGTTTGTTTTTGTTTATGGATCTTTGACTGTTGACCAAAACGATGCAGAAGGGGGAAAAAATGGAACATTACAGTTCATAATAGGAGGAATATTGGCGAGCCCAAGGCACCACCACCACCTCCTTTCTACTCGTCCTTTGGCTTTAGATTTGGCCCTTGTCCTTCATATTTGTGGTTAAATTTTGGAACTTTGAAAAGTTTTTGAGTGTGGCAGCCTGAAGCTGCTGCAGTGGAGGCATTGGATCCTCTGCACGTGACCTTCCTCTTCATCTTCTTCATCCTCATCCTTTGTTAAAGAAACTGATAATTAGTATGGCGTCTGGTGCGAGTATGTGTACTACGAGTAGTATTATGTTATACTATGCGTACTAGTATATAATTGGGCAGAATTATATTCCTTATTAGAGTCGTAGAAGTTAGTTAATTTCCTTATTAGTATTAGGGTTATTATAGAATTTCAGTCTCTGCACTCTATATAAACCCATGTGATTTCAGTAATAATACACGACAGTTTCCACCGTATTTTGATTTCCCAACACGTTTGAACATTTCTCACACGCGATTGAATGAATGCTTATTTTCGTTGATGAAACAATCTTTCAGCAAATAAGATCGTATCCGTTAACACAACTGAATATCAATCATCGACCTGGTCTCAAACCAAATTTCCATAACTCAACCACCGAATTCCATAACTAAACTCATACTTAATACGAGACAAATATAAATATCGAGATACTCGTCGTCACCACTCCGTTATCATTATCATCACTGTTTTGATCTTGCGTATATATCAACACAATGATTACCACACACATCAATCCAACAGCTGACAAGTACATAGAAACTATCTAACGGCATCACTCTGCTCAACGTCTACCTCTCGCCTGAATCGGCGGCCACCGCCAGCTCCCACCAATCCTCCAACGACATGCAGAAAAGAACGGTACAGTCTTAACTCGAAGTTCAACAAACCCTAATAAACAAATCTTCCCCGGCCGGGGTACAGGAACCGAAAAGAGGTAGGAGGACAAAACTTGGGAAGTTGGTCACATGAACTGGACCGCAACAAATTAAGTAATTTAGGCTTATAACTAGAACAAACAGGTTTAAGTAGTTAATTATTTGTTAAAAATGGGGTTAGGAAGAGAGTTTTCCAAAGGGAAGAATGATGAGAAGATGAGACCATTCCATCTGTTTTTTTTTCCCTCCTGTTTTCTGGGGTGAACTGTTGTTTTTACCAAAAGAAGAGCCAGTAGTAGTTGTCCTGTATTAAGGGCATGGTTCCCTCCATAATTGGTGTCAAAATTTTATTCAATAGTAACAAACCCCAAGGGCTGCCTAATACCTAGCTAGTCTTAATTAGCTTCAGCTTGTAAACAACTAGGGGTTTGTTCTGGAATCTGGATCCTTCTTCTTGTTAATGTTAAGGTGACTTGTGGGGTTGTTTCTCTGATCCCAAACTGACGGATTTGTAAGAGTAGGACTGACTCAGTGTGGCAGAGTTGCGGAAGTTAGAGCGATGGTTTGTTGTTCTTGATCGAGTGACGAGAAGTTATGAATTTCGGGATTTGGTTGTTTCGAATTGTTTAAACCAAGTTAAGTCTTATCTAACACATTCTCCTCTCACATTGGGATTATCGTGCTTGGATCGAAGGATATATCTTGGCCAGATAGAGCTCGTTAAGGTGGTGACCTTCATTTCTAGAAGTAAAAAACCTGCTTGCAAGTTGACAACTGGGATCACCAAAGAGCAAACTTGTAGCTTTTTCGTCCAGATTGAATTTAGATTCTTGACCTAATCATCATGTCATTCCTCCAATTTCCTTCCACAAGATTGTCTGATGAGCTCAAGACATTCGAAGAACGAAAGTAAGGGAGGAGAGGGGGGGGGGGGGGTCATATTACGTTTATTACATTAATCATGTTGATTTTTACCATGTAGTATTATTTTTAGCATGATTTTTCTATAATGCGATTTTAACTTGTAGATAGTTTTCCCACAGTTTTGATTTTCTTTAGGGGATGACCAATTCGATGTTGATTGTTGGCTCGGATTTTTAACAAAAAATGGGCTTATTAATAGCTCATTATTTCCCTCAAAATATGCTTAAAAAGGAAAGTATGATGCAAATTGGGTGCTCAGTGAGATGTGTTTGTCTGGCTAATGTCACATCACAGACACCACAAATTCAATTTGTCGTTTACTTCTGTTTTGTGTCTCGTCACCTTAATAGGGCTGCCCATCATGTGGCACAAAAGGCCCTCTCATCGGGAGTTCGACTATTGGTCGACTATTGGTCGACTCTCGCACCTTTCTTTCTTCCGATTTGTGACTTTTGATTAATACTCTGACTTTGGGGGGGGGGGGGAATTCAATTTGTCGTCTTGAAATGAGGAAAAGAGAAATTAAAGTGAGAGAGGCTGCGCGATATTGTAATTAGTGGAGTTGTTAGTTTGATTAATTGCTGCCATTGGCCAATTAATCTCTCTCCCTTTCCTGTTTTGGTAGTGGGTTGTTTTGCTGTGCCGACAACAGACCTAGGGATGGCAATTTACCCACCCATGGGTAATTTTGCCCAAACCCAAGTAGACCCATTTATTATGGGTAGGGTTTGGGTGATATGTGTATGGGTTTGGGTTAGATATGGATATTATCTAAATGGGTATGGGTTGGATATGGATATCCATTTACTTGAGAGTGTTTTAACTACACATGCAAAAATTGGACCTATTTGTAAAACTTGAAAAGTTTAGGTACCAAAATGTAAGACCAAAAAAATTTAGGTACCAAAACGTAATTTTCCATCGATATTTTGAGGACTTATATGCAAAAAAAATTAAATTTAGGTACTAAATATGCATATCTATTAAGCTTAGGTACCAAACTGTAATTTGTATTTGGGCATGGGTACAAACCCAAATCCAACCCAAAGTAAATGGGTATGGGTACAAACCCATCAAACTTTACCCATATCCATATATTTGGATTTCATACCCAACCCAATTGGGTTGGATAGTAAAATACCCATGGGTATGGGCAAAATTGCCATCCCTAAACAGACCAGATACCAAGTTCTTGGCCACTAATTAGACAATGTCTGGTTTGCTGTCTGTCTGATCTTTCTCACCATATTAGTGGTCCATTTTTTAGCTCCATGAGGTGAAAATCTATAGGCACATATTATGAGCATAACTATCTAGCTAGGAAATGTGAGTTACATTTGCATATGTGATGCTGTTTACACCTATAAATTTTTCCATGGAGGAAAACATATATTTGTACTATGAAGTAAAACAATGGCTTACTAGGTTGGGACTTGGGAGTATGCATGCATTTTCAGCTAGCTAGTAGACCAACATTGAAAGATAAGATAGTAAGTTGATTCTTCTTCGTTTGCGGCCAATGCTATATATAGTCGCAAGTAGCCAAGTACCACTCTTAGATAGTAGTACCTCATCATGCGTCTTTAGGAACTAAAAAACGAACAACAAAGAAACTTAACGTTAGGATCACCACTGTCGAATTTTCGAACGCAAAAATCTATCTATATGACCACATCAACTACCCAACACTCTACAAATTTCGCTCCAAACCCGATTTTAAGATCCTAATCCTGCATATGGTTCCTATTAACTAGGTTGGATGGTGGGTCTCAAGGGGCAAAGTAGAAGTTCCAACATACATAACGTACGAGTCAAGAGGGAAGTGTCAGTTGATCATATGAACATCTCACCATTAACAAAATTTAGATGAAATTTTCAACAAGCATACAAAAACTAATAAATAACATAATCTGCAAATGTATTTACTTATTAAAACGTTACTGCATAGCAGATGAAGGAAAACTGTCATTTGACTTTTAGATGTTTCATAAAAAAAAACATTACAATTTACCCATAAGAAAAGGATGATGTTTTCATAATTCTCCAAAATTAATGTAAAGACTAGGATTGCATGGGACAAACAAAGATTTTTTTTTTTTGACATGAAGGACAAACAAAGATTGAGACAATCAAGCATTGCAAAACACCCAAAACTTTCCTATGTTGTACATTGTCAACTAACACTTTTGGGCCACCAATTGCATCTATGATCTAACCACAGGTGGATCAAAATCAAAACATTGAAAATTACCAAAAGAGATCATAGCAAGTGGCTATCAATCCATTGGTGCCCTACTAATCTCCAAAATCCCAATTAACCCACCAAAACAATTTAAAAAATCTCGAGTATTTTTGTATAGTTCATAAGAAAACAATAAAAGGATCATGCATGACCCATACAAAATTTTAACTATGATTATGTAGATCACTATGCATAAGGGCATGCAGCTATTTCAAGAAGCCCCCCCTTATTAATTAACAACAAAAATATTAGAGAGCTCTTAAGCCAAGGAGATTGAGCACAACTATGAGTTAAAAATGCCCAAGTTAGTACAAATTTTTGAAAGGTGGTGGTGGCAATTGGCATAGAATGGGAGACACAGAAACAGCTCCCACGTTGCCTCTCAAATTATATTTCATTTACTTTAGTTTCTTCTTTGGTGGGTTGGGTTCAAAATCAAACATATATATAACACACTAGCAAGAGAGAGAGAGAGAGAGAGAGAGAGAGAGAGATTGCCCTATATTGAAAAGGGAGGAAACAAAATTGGGTTCTTTGTACATTCCAAGGAATAAATATATCCCATTTCCCTCTTGTGAACATCCATAAATACTCTCTATCCTCCATGCCCTACACTCTCCTCTCCTCTATGTCTTCTTACCACAGCAAACACCTCTTCCCTTCCATAGTTTGACAACTATATATCATCATCTCAAAGTATAGAAAGCCAGCCAATTTCGAGGAAGAAGCCTTCTTTGGATCATCATCATCATCATGGTTGGTTCTCTTGTCTACTCTTTCTTCTCTTGTATAGACCATAATTCTAGGTAGGGGTTTGCTTAATTGAGGTTCAATTCTGGGTGGAAACCTCACAGGGAATTCACCAGAAGCCCGCATGGTTGGAATCACTCAACAACGAGAAGTTCTTCGCTCCCTGCCCATACCACGAATCTGCCAAGAAGAACGAGAAGAACGTATGTTGCCTCGATTGTTGCACCAGCATCTGTCCTCACTGTGTCCCCACTCATCGTGCTCACAGATTGCTTCAAATTCGTCGGTATGTCTATCATGAAGTTGTGAGGCTGGAAGACCTCGAGAGGCTCGTGGACTGCTCGAACGTTCAGGTCTGGTTTCCTGATTAAGATTGTGCAATTCCAATCCCCATTATGATTGATTTTCTAATCATCCATCCATCTATCTTCTTTCTGGATGGCACATAACTAAAGTTTTGGTTGATTGTCGATCATGAATTATAGGCCTACACCATCAATAGTGCCAAAGTGGTGTTCATCAAGAAAAGACCCCAAAACAGGCAATTCAAAGGGTCGGGGAATTATTGCACTTCATGTGATAGAAGCCTCCAAGAACCTTTCATTCATTGCTCCCTTAGTTGCAAGGTAACTTATCCTTTCCTAGTTCCCACTTCTATCAATTTCGAGTCAGAATTCTATTGATTTCGGCTCCCAATCAATCCAAATTGCTAAAAGTGTATTAGACCATCAAGAATTGCGGCAAGAAGAATGGACTATCAAGAAAGCACACATCACAATTCTCTACATCGAATAAGCTAAACAAATCATTGAACCTTTTCGTCCATTTCTGACTAGGCGGTTTAAATTTCCGATGATACGATGAAGTTAAATTTACCAACCCAACATTATCATACGTTCTCAAAACACAATTTTTTATAGTAATTTGGAAATTTGTATGTGGGCGATGAATAGTATTCGTACTAAAATCAGATAAGCGCGTACCGACTCTATAATCATAGTTGGGTTCAACTTAAATAGTATAATTATTGAGTGATGAATTGGGTTCAAACTTAAACTAATATCAACTCAATTATGTTAGCTAGAGAGAAAGGATATTGTAGTAATCATAGTTGTGTACATATTTACAGGTGGATTTCGTGCTAAAGCATTACATGGACTTGAGCCCATTCCTAAAGAAGTGCAAGACTTTAGTACTAGGACCGGACTTCTTGATCCCTCAGGACAACATGGGAGACGTCGACGACATGATGACCAACTCCGACGAGCCGGCGATGAGCTGGTCGTCCGGCTCCGACGGCGGTGGTTCCGGGTCGTCGTCGTCCTCGGGGTCCGAGAACATGATGATGAGCAGCATGATGATGATGGCACCGCCGTGTCCCGACAAGATCGTGCGCAAGAAGAGAAGCGGGTTGATCTACGTCTGGTCTAGATCGTCGCCGACGAACTACGACGGCGACCACCACGGCCACAATCAGGACTACCATCATAATAGAGTCTCCGACGAGGACATGGCCACCAGCTTGAGCCGGCGGAAAGGCGTCCCTCAACGATCTCCTTTGTGTTAGCAAACTACGGAAAGAGGAAATAACAAGACCGAACATTATGAGGATTTTTAACATTGTACCTTACTTTTTTTTCTATCTGAATTTTGACTAAAAGAGAGTGATATCAGATTCATAATTAATCTTCGCTCGACAAATTTGGTTCTTGATACGGTCTCAGATTTTTCGGCTGTCGAGAGATCATGTGTTCAAATCCTGGCGACTTTCAATGTTAAAACACATGATATTCAAAATGTGTGCAAGCATCAACCCAATATAAATTGACATTCGTTTGAGATAACATGTCATTGAGACTAAACGGTTCTTGACATAGTATCATATTGCACACTTGTGAAATGTTTCACTCTCTACATTATCTAGTCTAATATTTTGGAGTTGATTCATCTTTTATCTTTTTACTCTAACAAATTGGAGTTATTGGAATTGAACGGTTCTTGACATGACACTAAAACCTTTTTGAGAGTTTACATATTCAAATTTCGACGACCTTTAATATTAAGTACATGATTTTTTTAGCTATGCAAAATTCAAACCAATATGAATTAGGGATGGAAAATAAAACGTTCTTGACATAGAATAGAGTCAACACTTACTGAAATGTTTCACTCTCTATCTCTTATCTCTTTAGTCGAAAATTGTAGAGGTGATTAATCACTTGGTCGGAGGTTTTGTCTTAATGGCATCACGTGGTTCCCAATTCCAAGTAATGGTTTTGTACATTTTTCAAGGGTTTTTCTTTTGTCACGGATTCATTAGTTAATTGGAATGATCATATCGAGACCCAAGTTTGTACTATTTGGCCATATTTTCCCGTGCATGGTTATGTTATAATAAAGCTTTGCATACGTATAAGCTGAGGTTGTACTTGGTCGACCATGGGCGGTCCTAGAAATCGTATAAAAAAGGCTATGCATGTAGAGTGATCAATTAAGGTGAAAGAAATTAGGGGGAAAATGTAGATGAAGAATCCAAACATTAGGGTTTTGTTAATCAAGTTCATCACCATTTCAAAAAACATTACAATTTTGTAATTGTACATAAAAACTGAATCTGCAGAAAATCGAAACACCCATTATTAAGAGATCGTTTTACGTTTTTATATATGTAAATTCTGAATGTATAGACCGTATTTGGTTGTACCTCCTTACTTTTCATTCAAAATTATTTGGGCTTTCAAAAATTACTAAGCAACATATACACAATCTAGCCGACGATCTCGAATAGTAAGATGGTGAAACCACTCATCCTTCGAAAATAAGGAAGTTTTGGTAAAAAAATCTAAAATGACATGGAAAATTGTCAAAATTTGTGAATGAGAATTAGGGCAAGAGACAAAAAGAATGATATTTTGTGGGGTTGTTAATATAAAGAAGATATTATTGTTGGTGAATTTTGGAGATAACGATATGAAATTGATAGCTACCTTTCATTACCCTTTTCTTTAATTAATTAAATTCTCATGCATTGATGATGGCCCAATGGCCATCCTTTGACTAATCTAGTAATTTCCTTAATACTGGGGTTTTACCGTTTTACATTATGTACAACCATTGCAGACACACCCCACCGGCTTCTTCTTGAGAACCGAGAGATAAACCAGACAGGGTTAAGGTTAATAATAATTAAATTTCTTTTATAAAAAAGACATGTACTCGAGATTTAAACATGGATATATATATTGACCAGTCAAATCGTACCACGTTATATATCATATATGCAAGTTGGTCATAAAATATAATTAATTTGTGATAAGACATTTGTTGATTCAGTAGGTCGGTAATTAATTAATTTGACTTGTTATGGGCCTTTTAGATTTCCCGTTGTTACATATGAGGATTTGTATGAGTTAATCATGTTCATGATCTCGAGTGAGAGGGGAACATTGTTGTTTGTGTGGTATACTAATGATTATCAATAAGTAGTCCCATTGGGACATCCAATAAAATGAATATCTATATGTAGAACGGAATTATTTTGGTTTAAGGAGATCATAGATCAAAAGTATCTCGATTTGATACTCTAATATCGTAAGAAAAGAATGAGGAAAAATGTTTTGTGCACGGCACAACCTGCAGAGCTGAGCCGCATAAAAAGGTAGATTAGAGTTGGTTAGTAGCCTATGTTAAATGTACTTCTGGAGGAGGTGAAACCTTGATCAATTTTACGTTCATTTATCGAAGTTCTGTGTTACACATTTGAAAAAGAAACAAAACGACTGTAGGTGACATCATTCCTTTATACTTCTTCTCCTCCAGCCGCCTCGGGTATATGATAATCTATCGTTATGAAAAGTTACCATTTTCTATTCCTAATTATGTCTAGTTTGCTTGTGAAACAAGCAAATCTTTCTAAGTGTTTGCTAATTCGTACGGTACAGGTGGTTATAAGAGTCCAAATCAATATAATATTTTGTCGATATGAAACGGATCAGCTACGATTTAACCAAAATATCATATCATTGTCGGTTTTATAATCTTTGCATTGTGACAAATGCTGGTGGCCCTTGAAATATATGGCTTTTGTGTTTGGGCCTGCCGTAGTATGGTTTGGTAATTGGTGCTTCTATTGGGCCAAGATCTTTGTTGGTTTTCAAGTGGGTCTCCGATTGGATTTCTTAGCACAGACTGGTTTTGTTTTGTATTTGGGCCTTAATCAACCCTGGGGGAAACATTGTAGTTGGGCTTGCTACACAAGATCAAATTTTCATGATTGATGTATTGAACATAAAATCAGATAATTAATCCAGGTGTAAAGGTTTGATATTTGTTTAAAACGATCAATTTCTTGGCCCATTAGTCACTAATTTTGGGATTAGACAGGAACCAAAATAAACCCATTCTCTAAACTGGGCCCCATCCAAATTATCACTAAAGAGTAAAGACAAACCTTCATAAATAAAAGGCTTCAAAGTTGGAACTATCCATTACTGTTGTTGGAATATGGAACTTTAGTTAACATCACAACAATTTTGATTTGGATATCATATAGTGCTTTATCACTTTAAAGGCGATCAATTAATTTGAACAAAAGGACCATATACAGCCAAAGGTCATAGTCCGATTGGTGAACCCTCGTTGAGTGCTCGTTGTAGACGTGTGAGATCCTGAGTTTGACCTTTCTCAATGCTCTTTCGTGTAAATCCTCAAATTTGATCTCAGTTCTGTCATCGCTCAAGGTGTGACAAGCTCCTCCTCTGTTTTCCTCTGTTCCAATAGTATTCCATTATCATATCCAACGTTTCTTCCTGGTCAGGAAACTTAATCAATGAACTCAAGAATATGGAAATCGCATATGTTGGCCACTATATCAAAGTGGTTGAAAGTACCCATCAAAGGGGACAAAGAGAGTGAGTGGGTTCAGCTTCAGCCACATATATTCAAATAAAAAAGGGTTAATATTTTCGTAGGGCCTGAACTTTGACCAAAATAAACATCCTGACCAATCTTTTCGATCTATAACATCCTGGCCCGAACTATACACCAAAATAAACAATTTGGCCAGATCCGACTTTTGACCGTTAACTTAGACGGTCAAACGCGTTGACCGTTAGTCAACGCGCCATGTCACTGCCAAGTCAACATAAAATATTTAAAATAATTCACAATTTCCACACATTCCCTAATTTTAAATTATTATAAATTTAAAAAATCATCTAATACCTTAGTTAAACCAAAAATAAAAAACGAAAAAATTAAATATTTATCAGATCTTCCGACTTGGCAGTGACGTGGCGTGTTGACCGTTAGTCAACGCGTTTGACCGTCCAAGTTAACGGTCAAACATCGGGTTTGGCCAAATTGTTTATTTTGGTGTATAGTTCGGGCCAAGATGTTATAGATCGAAAAGATTGGCCAGGATGTTTATTTTGGTCAAAGTTCAGGCCATACGAAAATATTAACCCAATAAAAAATGTTGGTACTTGCACAAATCTAGCAATTTGGTACCCAAGATTGTCAACCCGCGGGTTGACCCGGACCCGGTCGAGCTAGTGGGTCAAGGGTTAATGGGTCAATCGTTTTAGCTCGGTTTGGCCCGGAAATATAGAAAGAGTCATTATATTGCACTTATCCTCATAAATTATATCAAATCTTATCTAACATATGAGTTATAACATATAATATTACACCAAAATAACATATCGTACTTAGATCCAACATATAGTGAAAATTCACACACACTTATATAACATAAATATTCAAATGTTCAACTTAGTATTCCAAAGATTGAGTTAGGCGAAAAGAAAAATTGGAAAATAGGCGCATTTCGTAAAATAAAGAAAAAAATGACACAATTTGACCTCCAACCCGGTACCTAATAGCGGTCGGCCCGGCGGGTGCGTGCGGCCCGTTTTTCTCACCGGCTCAGGGTCAAATTGGGTCGACCCATGGGTCAACCCGCGAGTTAGAAGATTATTATACACAAAAGCTAGCATCAGGTGAAATTGAGACAGGAAAAGGTGCCAATCAGATTCGGAATGTACAACGAGCTTGTGATACTCGATGGAGTTCACATTTGAGTTCTGTTGCTAGCCTTATCCATTTGTATGGTCCAAGTTGTCGGGTTTTTAGGTTGGAATTAATGGATTGTTTCGTTTAGAGTGGGAGACAACTTACCCACCATTATCATCTGAAGACAACGGTAAGGAAAACAGAGATCTTTGTGGTTTTGAGTGAATCACATGTGACTTAAATTTCCGATAAAAGCAAACTTGATGATGATGAAACATGACGGCAACCTTCCTCTGTACATATATTTCTAAACCTTAGACTAACTCAAACTATGGAGCAAATGGAAGAGCAAAAGAAAGAAAAATAAAAACCCTAGCAAACAATCCTTCAAGGAATGATGTGGTCGATATTTTGAAAATATGAGATAACATGATGAGTCGATATTTACATTGCACCGAGACTGAGCCGCTCTAGCGTAAGTCATACACATTACTCTTTAGGAACGTGAGAAAGAAATAAGTTAAAGTAGATTAATGTAAGTGTAATACTCGATTGCCAGTTACTTTGGGAGGATTAATAATATGTATGTGTGGTCATCAATTGTTGTGGACGCGACATAATTCTATGGACTTACCTATCCATTTGTTAGGTTTTAAGGAATTTGTTTATTCCAACATTTTTTCTTCAATGATTTTTCACGAAATACATGATTATGCATTTGGATTTGACTGAGTAATGAAGCTGAATCCGTGATTTCGTGTATTCAATATCTTTAAACTAAAGCGATGCTCATAGAGATAGGAATGATATTTGATTTTACATCGTTGAATTTCACGTTATAGTTATTCGATAAAGTACAATCGTGTATATCGGAGGTTCATGCTACCATCCTACCATGAGAGAAAGGAAAAACAAAAACACGAAGAATTGGATGGGGTATTCTTCAAAGTGATGGATTTGAGACCTAATGTAGGGTTAGTAACAAAGGGATTGATTGTAAGCAATGCTGTTGATAGCCTTTTTTAAGTGTTGCCAAATGGTAGATGAGAGGTCAATATTACTACTTTCTGAACTAAAATATCAGCCACACTGACATTGTCATTTTCCCCTAATCTACTCATTCCCTACAAACTTTGATAATGGTCATTATCCGACTTGCTAATGAACTCTCTTTCTTTTCTTTGTACAAGTTTGTAATTCCCCAAATTATAAATCGAAATCACCCTTTATCAAACATGAAAAATGAAAAATCGTACGATGGAATAAAGAGCATAATTTGTTATAAACGATCAAAAGTTTGTAAGTTAATTTAGGAGTGTGATATCTATTGATTATTCAATTTTTTTCAATTAGTCGAGTCAAACTTTTTGTTCTCAGGGTTTACAATAACTTGTATGAAATTCAGTTGTAAAACCATCAAATTTATCTGATTTTTCGTGGATAGTCTGGTTGTGTTTATTTGTTTGAATCGACCTGATGAAAACTAGTATGACAATAAAAGAATAATCAGCAGCGAGCTAAAAAAAAATATAACATAATATCTTAACTCTTAAGATTAAAACACTATCGCCAGACCGACTAAGACATTGCCAAAATATTGTTAGACTATGAGTGAAAATTTTTAAGTATCACATTTTAAGCCTTAACCTTGAATTTGAGTTTTTTCCCCTTCATGGAGACATGGACACATGATAAAATTAGAAAGATATATAGAAGATTAGTACATTTGAAGTCTCCTTGTTCAAAAAATATTGGGTAAAAAGGGGATTTTCTCCAAATGATAATACCAACAGTTTTTTCCCCCATTTTTCTCTCACTCGCTCTTCCTCCGTATTTCTTCTCTCCCACTCGCACGACAACACCACCGCTCACCGAATAACAGATAAAACAAGCCATTCACCGTAGCTACTAGCTTCAGAGCAAGCAGCAGAGAAAAGAAGAAGAACAAGAGAAAAATATCACGGCAATGTCGTCGACACGAAGAAACCCGCCATTTTTGCTTATTCTCTTCCTCTCCGTGCTCATTTCCTTTCTTTTCGTCTCCTCCACCGCAGCTCCCGGAGCTGAAACTGCGACGTTTCATTTCCGAGCTCCTCGATTTCCCGGTAAAAAAAAGAAAAGATTGTTCCTTTCTCCTTCCTATCTTTATGGGCTTCTGAAATTATTTTCCTTTTTTTGGTGAACAATGTGTTTTCTCTGTGATGGGTTTTCCTTTTTTAGAAATTTCGAGAGCTGGGCATGGCTTAGTGTCGCCATTCGGCATACGACGCCATCTCGCCGACGGCAACTCGACGGCTGCCGGAGATGGGAATTCGACGACTCTGGTGTTGGCTGAAGAGAGGACTCGAAGGAAAGACCCTTCGGATAACATGAAAGTTTACACTGGTGGATTCAACATCAGCAATCAACACTACTGGACTGTGAGTTTCTTTCTTCCCCCAACTAAAAAAAGAATGTAAGAATCTGTCGTTTTCCCTCACCTATTTTAATGGTTTCCCTCAGCTGGGTTTTCAATTGTTTCTCTCAATCATCTCTTTGCTTTTATGAAGCTAGCTGATTTTGATTGCATAATGCTTCTTCTGGTTCTGTGCAATGGGTTCATAGCTGTTCTGTAACCAAAATTGGGTAATTTTTTTTGCTTCAACTAGTGATTGATTGTTCCTCCTGATTTCAGTCTGTGAGTGGAACAGCAGCACCATTCTTTTCCATAGCTGGAGTTTGGTTTGTTGTCTTTGGGATATCTCTGGTCTTCACCTGTCTATGCTGTTGCTGTTGCCGGAGAGAGCCTTATGGCTACTCTCGAACTTGCTACGCCATCTCCCTCGTCTTGCTCATCCTTTTCACCATTGCTGCAATGTAATACAACACTCTCCTCTCTTTATCCCATGGTTGTTATACTCCTTTATATGCGGATTGGTAGCTAATCGTTTGTGGGGGAATTCACAGTGCTGGATGTGCTGTTCTCTATACTGGACAAGGGAAGTTCATCGGCATAACATCAGACACATTGGACTATGTAGTGAGCCAAGCTGATGTTACTGCCGAAAGCCTCAAGAATGTGTCCGGTTACCTGGCTGCAGCGAAGTCGATTGGCGTGGACTCGATCTTCTTGCCTCCTGATATGCGGGGTAAACTCGATGGCCTTGTGGCGAAGGCCAATTCGTCTGGGAACACTTTGTCCAGCCGTACTCAGGATAACAGGAAGAAGATTAAGGATGGGTTGAATAGCGTGTAAGAAGCTCTTGCAGACTTGAATTGAGTATCTGAGTTCGTACGTTTGGTCTCTTAAATCATTTGCTGATGACCATTTCTTGTTTGCAGGAGATTGGCTCTTGTTATCCTAGCAGCTGTTATGCTTGCTTTGGCATTTCTTGGCTTCTGTAAGTTCTCTTCTGTTCTTTGAAAAATTGCAGGTGTTAGATACTGGTTCTCATGGTGTTTCCTTCTGATGTTGTGATGGCTTCGTTTTGCAGTATTCTCCATTCTTGGGATGACTTGCCTTGTGTACTTGTAAGTGATAATGATAACCGAGTCGTCTGTCCTAACTATTCACAAACCAGAAATGATGAAAGCTGAATGTTCTGCACATTGTTGTTAACTGCAGCCTGGTGATTCTAGGATGGATCCTCGTTGCTGGTACATTTATCTTGTGTGGTGTATTTCTTCTTCTCCATAAGTAAGTTGCTTTGTTCTCCAATTCGTTAATCTTTCACTCTTTTTAACTTACAATTTCTGTTCATCCTGCTTCAAATCTCCCTTCCAATACTCCAATCTTCTCTTGGCACATTGTCCTGCATCACATGTTCATATGAAAATCAGTTAACGTTTTCCTCCATTTGTCATTATCTCTATTGCTCAATTATCTCCTCACACCTTGGTTTGGTCTTTTGTGTCATCTTATCATCATCAACATTCAGTGTGGTGGCCGATACATGTGTGGCAATGGACGACTGGGTCCAGCACCCTACAGCTAAGACGGCCATGGACGATTTCATCCCCTGTGTGGACAATGCAACTGCACAAGAAACCTTGGTGCAATCGAAGCAGGTCTCTTTCCAGCTCGTCAACATAGTCGACAACGTCCTCGCCAATTTCTCCAACCGCGACTTCCCGCCACAACTTGGACCTCCTCTCAACTACAACCAATCCGGTCCCTTGGTTCCTGTTCTCTGCAACCCCTTCAACTCCGATCTCACCGTCAAGGACTGCGCTCCAGGGGAAGTCGGCTACCATAATGCTACTGAGGTAAAGCCTAGTGAAACATATGATCAGGGTACAAATCCTTGGTAATTAGGCGAATTGACCATTGGACTTCATCTCATGTTTCAGAAACTTGACACAAAGTTAGCTACTTGTGCGAATCCTACTCGAACTAAAAAAAATCTCGATTCTGTTTTCGTTTCGTTTCCAAATGCGCAGGCGTGGAAAGCCTACGTGTGCCAGGTCTCGAGCACGGGCATATGCACGACGCCCGGTCGACTGACTCCGTCGCTGTACTCCCAGATGGCATCCGCGGTGAACGTGAGCTACGGGCTGTATCGCTATGGCCCGTTCCTCGTGGAGCTCGAAGACTGCACGTTCGCGAGGAGGACGTTTACCGACATCAGCAATTCGTACTGCCCCCACCTCCGACGCTACACGCAGTGGATCTACGTCGGGCTGGTGGTCGTCTCGGCTGCTGTGATGCTGTCGCTGATCTTCTGGGTGGTCTACGCCAGGGAGCGACGCCACCGTGTGTACACCAAGCAGTTCATGACTGGTGGTGGAGAACAGAACAAGGGCCCGGGGCATATGTGAAGAAGGGGTTTTGATTGATTGAGTACAGCTTCTGTAAATCTTAGTTGTTGTTGTTCTAGGTGTGAGATATATACATGTAGATTGGACGAGTAATTTAAGCACTGTAAGAAGTTAATTAATGTCGGTTTTTTGGTATTGTGCATGTGCTTAATTGAACTAATGAAGCAATAACGTTAAGTCCAGGTTGTAACTCATTTAGAGACAAATAATAGAACTTAGATTTCTTGACATTGATCAGAGATTTCTCCAATCATGAGTAGAAGAAGAACATGCATGAATCTGAGATGCAGATCTTTTTCTACTTGATACGTCTATTATTCGAGGAGTTTGTGTACAAGAAATTTGACCTACAATAAGTAACTATGTTTTGTTTTTGTTTTTGCATAAGAGTACAATTTCTATTATAATTTTAGGTTGAAGCGGTTGTTTTAGGTGGTAATTATTATTTCGAGTACAAATACAGTATACTCGATATTGATATGTAGAGTTCCCGTCAACGTCGAATACCAATGCGAGTCTCTGTCTGATCAAAACTAGCTAAAAACATTAATGAAAATAGTAAAGTATGCATTATATGTAGAGAAACTCGATAAGCTTATCCGTTAAAGTTTTTACCAAGTCAACGGAAGATTTTCTACCTTTCTCGCAAAATATTGGCCAAGTTTTGCGGAGTGAGCAACCAAAAATAAGAGTGATCGTTTTCTTGTAATTTACCAAACAACAAACCGAAAGAACCCAGAAGACTCGTATACTTGTACACTTACCGAACCAGTAAACCAGATAACAAAGCCAACCAAAAAAAAAAAATTTTTGTCTAAAACCATAAAAACACAATCCCAAAATCATATGATACAACCAATAAAACCGGGTCAACAATACTCGTAGTAACCGGTTCAACCGAATTGATTCCACTCCTGCAAAATAAATTCCAATTAAGTCCCGTCCTATTCTTCGGCCATTCTTTCCCGCCGCGCGCGTAACCGCTAACTAACCACATCCTTTGCGCCACCTCACTTTCGCAAATTACCATCTAACCCACCCCTTCCGGCAAAAATTACCTGGCGCAGCAAGGACAAACTAGTAAAACCCATACCAATACAGAAACAACCGCAAATCCTCAGATTCCCATTACTACCCTCCAAATCCCTCTCACCTCCTCGTTCCCCACCAGGGACAAAAATGTCCATCGCGAACCTATAAAACCACCGCTCGGAGTCGGTCGCTCGGATTGCCTCTGTTTCCGATAAAGCTCACGAAACCAAAGAAAAGGATCAAAATTTTCTCCCAATTACAAAAACAAACACACAGATTCTTCCCGAACCATCATCAGAAATCAAATCCCAACAATGGCGACTGGCAGCTCTTCTCCATCCAAATTCGTCAAGACCCGGACGTGCCTCTGCTCGCCGACGAACCACCCTGGGTCGTTCCGATGCAGCCTCCACAAGAACCGGCCGTCGACGAGCAGCATCCGGTCGAATCGACGGGAATTGGCGGCGGCGGCAGCGATGGCGAAAGCGTTCACTTTACGGGCTTTCCTGCTGCAGATCATCAAGCCGTCGAATCAGGATCAGAAGCGGCGGAGGAATTTCCAGCCCCGGCCGTCGAGATTTTTCACGATGAACGCCAGCAGCGGCGGCGGCGGCGTAGCGGTTTCGTAAAGATCGATCCTTTTTCCTTTCTTTTTTCGAGAATTGGATTCAGGAATCTAGAAATTATGTTTTGTCTGTTCTTCGTGATTAGTTGTTTGACATGTAAATAGAGGCAGGGGAGGGCAGAATTTTCTCAGACGGATCTGTTTTTTTGTTTGGATTCTGAGAAAATAGACGGGGGAAAATGGGGAATTAGAGTTCTTTCGTTTTCGTTTCTCCTTTCAGGAATTTGTTGATTGGGGGAATGTATTGATAGCGGAAGCAGATAGAAATTCACTGTGGTTCTTTCGTTTTCGTTTTCCCCTTTCAGGAATTTGTTGATTGGGGAATGTATTGATAGCGGAAGCGGATAGAAATTCACTGTCGTGATTTTTGGAATTGATTTCATTTCACAAATTCATCCTGATCTTTTCTTTGTGGGTATAGTTTGATTTCATTGATTAAAGCTCGCGTGATTTTTGTGCTGCTGTCAATTGTCTGGCTTTGGAAGTCTGGCAGCAGTGTGGAATCAATCACCTATCAGTTTGAACAACCAGAAAACAAAAAAGAATCAGTCAATCAGATATGTGTTGAACTAACTATCATCCATGGCAACAAACACGATGTTAAAGGACACCAAAAAAATTGGGAAGAAACAAGAGACTTCATTACCAGACATCGTAAATGCCATAACCTAAAGAAGCTTCACATATGTCCTTCTCCGCTTCTTCTCCATAATTACATTCTCCTGCAACATCCGGCACCGGAATTGGAGTCGGCCAAAAGGGAATCCAAGGCTGAAACACAGCCCAGCCGATCGGATCCCCAACTCCGAACATCCCCCAACACTTGAACCTCAGATGGCTCGCATTACTCTCAGCAATCGGCACAATCTCTCCCACCACCTCTTGCCTCACCACGTCGAAGTGGACGACGTAAATCGGATCGTAGGCGTGATAATCAGGTAGTTTCGAGCCGCCACCAACATAGTCCATGAAACCATACCGGATACCGTATCTGAAAATTAACAAAAAAGGTTAATAGCATTTTATATCATTTTATTATTGCAAATTAACAAAAACATACCCGTATACTAATTTTTTACACAAGCATACCCTTCTAATATTAAAACGTAATAATTATGCCCTTCCGCGTCTAGTTTCCTGTTAATCTATCGTTTAATGAGTTGGAAAATGATCCAAATACCCCCTAATTTCTTTTCGATTATTATTTTATGTCCCAACTCAATTAAAAATTAAACCAATTCAGAATTAGGGGTCATTTGGATGGAGTATTTGAGTGGGTTATTTCTTAGTTATCTGGGTTCAAATAACTCACAATGAGTTATTTGGACACAAATAATAACTTGTTTGACGACATTTTACCGAAATGAGTTATTGAGACAGTGAGTTAATCATATTATTTACAAATAACTCAAAACGAGTTATTCGAATTAACTCCTATCCTACGCCCGTGTTATCTAGAAATAACTCGTTTTTACCACTCTGCTTCTGGCAAATCCTACATGCCAAATACCAAATATGCATGGGTTTTACCAAACGGGATATTTCAATCAAATTATATCACCAAAATAACACTGAAATAGCACATAAATAGTAAATGAGTTCTTTTTACTCTACAAATAATATCACATTGACCATTAGTCCAACCACCCATTCTCCTAATTGTGTGGATATGTTATACAAATCGTATCCACAAAAAAAAAAAAAAAAAAAAAAAAAAACCCTATCAGAATCTAGCTACCGTTTCTTCTACTCTTTCTCTAGTCGCAGTTGTATAAAGTGGAGAATTCACAACCACATCCCACAACCAAGATAAAGCAAATGGCCACTTGCTAGTCAACTGGAGACTTTGACTTGACTTGACTTGACTTGACTCGAGTTAGAGGCTTACAGCTATACCCTCTCCCCGCCTAGCTCAATACATGGATATAAAGAGAACCCAACTGCCACAATCTTGAATTCTCAAGCAAAGAGATTATAGAAAGAAAGAAAGAAAGAAAGAAAGAAAGAAGTGTTTCAGAAAGAATGATGATATGGATATCAAAGCTATGGCTGCAGCTGGCTGTGCTATTGCTCACGATTCCAGGAATATTGAAGGGCTGCGATGGCTGTTGGGAAGACGAACGAATCGGTCTCCTTCAGATCAAATCTTCACTCGACGGCCCAAACCATCCGCCAGCTGTGTTGGGCGGCGGCGGCCGGAGGGGGAGAAAAAATCATTCCGATGACGACTGCTGTTAGAAGTACATGTATTAGATTGTAATTAGCCATCCTGTCTTTTGCGGCTAATTACAATCCCTCTCCTTAGGTCTAGCTTGCGGCCAGTATATATAGTTTGTATTGGTCACTATGTAAACCTAAGGAATTACAGCCGACGTAATAAGATTGACTCCGAGAGGCTTCACCCTCTCCGTGGATTAGTCTCAACGATATTCGTTGAGGATACCACGTAAATCACGTGTTCATTTATGTTTTAGTTGATTATTGACATGGTATCAGAGCCTCACCAATCTTGATTCTCGTTGCTGCTTCGTTTGGTTCTCGATCTTTGCCGGCCGCAGTTGGTTCTCGTGATTGGCGGGCTTCTGGTTTGTGCTTTCTTCTCGTGGGTTTGCTATTTGGGTTTTCGGCTGGTTTTCTCGATGGATTCTGCCAAAGTTGATTCTGTTACTGTCAAATTCAATGGCCGGAATTTCCCTCTCTGGGAGTTCCAGTTTCGGGTTTTTGTTCATGGCCGCCGTCTGCTGCCAATTCTCGATGGCTCTTCTCCCGAGCCTGCTGAGTCTGCTTCCGCGCGCGAAAAGGATGAATGGGCCATTCAGAACGCCCAGGTTGTTCATTGGCTTGTTGCTTCTGTTGAGCCTTCCATCGCCTTGAGTCTGCGTAGCTTTGTTACCGCGCATGCGATGTGGAGACACCTTACGGATTTGCACTCGCAAACTAGTGCCTCTCGGAAGTTCGAGCTAGAGGTCGACATTGCTCGCCGCCAGCAGGGAGACTTGGACGTGCGTTCCTACTATCAGGAGCTGGTCAGTTTGTGGACTGAGCTCGATCTCGTCACGGCGTCCTCCGTTTCTGCTGCTGCCTCTGCCGATGTGCTCAAGGAGCGGGCTAGCTCCCGCCTTATGTATTTTTTGATGAACCTCAGAGCTGAGTTTGAAGGGGTTAGGGCATCGTTACTTCACAGGAATGTTTCTACCATCGAGGAGGTCTTGGGCGAACTCATCCGAGAGGAAACGCGCTTGCGTAGCCAGGCCAAGGTTGACCTTCACTCCTCGGATTCCTCTACTGTTGTGTTCTCTGCTGCCTCGTCAGGTTCGGCTGCTGCGTCGTTACCTGTTTCTAGTGAGGCCGCCTCGGCCTATGCTGCTGCTGATGCTAGGCCTCGTTTTCACCGCACTCCAACCGGTGAAATCATCTGCCATTTTTGTCGTGAACCGGGGCATATTCAGAATCGCTGCCCCAAGAGAGTCTCGTGCAACTACTGCAAAAAGGACGGTCATCTTATTGGTGACTGTCCCGTCTTGGCGAAGCGTGGGCGTTCCCGTCCAGCAGGTCCAGCCAGTGGCTCTTCGTCCACAACCCGTCCTGCGGCAGCCTATGCTACTGTTCCCTCGTCCATACCGGACCCGGTGTCTCGCGACTCTCTCCGCCAGCTGATGCAGGAGGTCCTCAAAGAGACTCTTCCGTCTGTCTTGGGTTCTGTATTTACTACGGGTATGCATTCTTCCACTTCTTCTTGGCACATTGATTCGGCTGCGTTTAATCACATGACTAGTAGTCGATCGTCTTTTCGTGATGTTAAGCCTACTTCGGCAATTCAGTTGCAAGTGGCTGATGGGAAATGTTTACCCGCCACGGGTATTGGTGATATCGTTCAGCCTGGGGTTTCTCTTCCCAACACGTTATATGTTCCTGATCTTGTCCCTAGTCTGGTGTCTGTTGGTCAATTAGCCGAGGATGGGTGTTCTATTACCTTTGATTCGACTGGTTGTGTTGTACAGGACACGACCTCGGGGGTGGTGATCGGTCGCGGGACTAAGCGAGGCAGGGTGTATCTTCTGGATGCTTTCTCACGTGCGGGTTCTGGCCTTGCTCGACGTTTGCATGGAGTGCATGGTGAGAGGGAGACTGCGGCTGGGTTGAAGACTCCAGACACTTCTGCTGATTGTTTTTCTATTAAACTTTCGAGTTGGGACCTTTGGCATCGTCGTTTGGGGCATCCCCATTCGGCTAGATTATCGGATATGTTTAAGAATAAGTTGTTGTCGGGTTCTGTTTCTTCTTCGGATTCTCGGGATTGTGTTCATTGTGTTGAAGCTAAACTCTCCCAACATTCTTTTAGCTCAAGTACTACGGATTATTCGGAACCATTTGCCTTGGTTCATACTGATTTATGGGGCCCCTCGCCTGTCACATCTCGTGTTGGTTTTCGGTATTTCGCTCTCTTTGTGGATCATGCTACTAGATATACTTGGGTTTACTTCCTTCGTCAGAAATCTGACTTGCTTGCTGCAGCGAAGGAATTTTTTGCTATGGTTCAGACCCAGTTTGGTCGTGCTGTTCAGATTCTTCGTTCTGACCCCGGTGGGGAATTTACGTCTGGGCCTTTACAGGAGATATTTAAGGATCGTGGTATTCTTCCCCAGCAATCGTGTCCCGGTGTTTCTCAACATAATGGGCTGGTGGAACGGAAGAACCGCCATGTTCTTGAGCTTGCTCGAGCGGTTCTGTTTCACTCTAGTGTGCCGACTAGTTTCTGGGTCGAGGTGATTCATACTGTTGTTTACTTAATTAACCGCCAGCCGACCACTGTTCTTGATAATAAGAGTCCATATGAAGCTCTCTTCCATCGTTGTCCACAGTATGACCAACTTCGGGTCTTTGGGTGCATCTGTTATGTTCTTCTTCCCCGTCGGGAGCGTCATAAACTGGCACCTAAGGCGATTAAGTGTGCTTTTGTGGGATACAGTGAGAAGCATAAGGGTTATGTCTGTTATGATCCTGTTAATCGCAGGGTCCGTATATCGTGTGATGTGGTTTTTCTAGAACATATCCCGTACTATTCTGTTTCTGCTGAAGAACATCGTGTTGCCACGGACCTTTTC